TCTGGACCGTTAGATTTCTGTATTTTCCAAATTTCTACCATGGGTATATATTTTCGGGAAATGCAATAGGTTTTTAAGGCCTACGAGAATGTTCTGTGGCTATTGTCACACCAGCTACCCAAGCAGAGGGCCTCTCAGTTACCACTGCTTCTTCCCAACACAGTCTGAATAGCCTCCCTTTGCAATCCCAGGTTTTTCACAGCCTCAGGCCCTTCAGGGTTTGTGAATTGCCCACCTTGACCCTGTAGTGCTAAGAACAAAGCAGGCAATACTGCACCTGCACACCAGGTGTCTGGTGATCTGTGACCTGTGCCCCTTGGTGCATGTCTGTGCCCAAGGCCCAGATGCCCAGAGCTCTGAAGGCTGACTCTAGGGTGCTGTCCCCAACTAACTGCCTCTCTGGTCCTTGGCCCAGTTCTCTTTAACTCAGGCTGCGTGGGCAGGGTGGGCATGGGGCCTGGCTACACAGCAAGGAGCTACCAAGTGTGGCTGGCCCCCAGGTGGAGCCTGGGTGGCTTGAGCACCCTGAAAGCAGGACTGAGGTTCACTCTAGTACCAGCAGGTGAGCCCAGTCCCATCATTAGTTTGTTGCCCTAGTCCCTTCCCTCAGGAAATCCCACAAAGCCTCTGGCCCACAGTCTCCCCTGACCTGAGGCCTGAAATCCCACCTATTGTCCTCTGAGGCTTGGTCCAAATCCAAGTTCATCTTCCTCTGGCCAGGTACCTGCCCACCCCTAAGCATGTCAGAGCAGGAAAGACGAGACATCACTGGGGAAACTGAGGCCCTGAGAGCCGATGTGACCTGCACAGTTGGTACAATACTAAAGACCTTTGAGGGTCATCTCTTTTGACCCAGAACAAAATCGGCCTAGGAACTCCTGCCCACAGTTTCACAGTTGCAGTGGGACTCTCATAGTGTAATGACTGATTTAGTTTCATGGCATAATTTCCTTCTTCTGAATTTACCTTCTCAGGAAGGTTCTATTAGGAAAGACTTTCATGTGAACTTTTGATAGGTGATCTAGGAAATCTCTGGGCCATTCTTATGGTACACACCCACTGTGAAGTCCACACCCACTTCCCAAGCCTCACCCTCGAGCACAGCCCGCTGGGTGCTGTGGTTGTCTCCCTACTGCCTGGGCCCTACTATCCCATCCCTGCACTGCAATCCCACTGATGGGCCCCACTCCATAACTTCTTGGCACTAGGAATCCTCTGGAGCTGGGAGACAAGCCCAGGGAAAACAGGGACCCTAAATCGACTCAGATTAAGTTTCTGCCACCATGTGATGTGGCGTTTGGTAGGAGTTAAGTTCAATGTTAGAAGAGAAGAAGAACGTTTACATGTCTTGCATTTCTGAGTTTAAAGGAAAAAGCCTCTGGAAGTTTCTCCTGTGCTCAGGATAAAGCCTGACTCCTTGGGATGAAATGCTATACCATCCCAGCCTGGCTCCATCCCGCTGCTGCCCTAGGCATATGGAGTGGTGGCCTGGCCCCCTGGATACCCCATCTGTGCCTTCCCTTGGACTGTCCCCTGTGTCAATGCCACATACTGTCCTGCTCACCCCCAAGACCTAGCTCTAAGACATCGCCTCTGGGAAGTCTTCCCAAACCCCCAAAATACCAACCCCCATCCTCACCCCCAATGGCTGAACTTTCCATTGTTGCTGGTCCAGGGTTGCGACCTTTATAAACACATCACACTCAAGGGCAATAGGAGGAAGAGCCCTCTCTTTCACTTCCTTCAGGTCACCTGGCAAAGCAAGTGGCCTCTGTTCAGTTGTAGGCAAGGAAGTGGAGACTCAGAGTCCCATAGCTGGTTAGAGGGCACAGGGATATGAATAAGCTTATTTCCCAAGGCCCACGTGCTGCCAGGGACCCAAATCAAACTGCCTGCTACCCTCAGTATGCCCTGGGCACCTGCATTGGGACTAAAGGGACTGCTATCATCTCTGCCTCCTGACCCGAGCTTCTGCTGTGATTCGCCTTGAACCCCAAGTACTGGCCTGCTCTAGGGTTTGGGGACTGTGTGATGATTTGGGAACAGCCCTTTCTGGGGCAGAAGTAGCACTTGACCTCCGGTGAACCACTGGAGGCCTTTGGGAGCTGGATACCTTCCTAGGCCAGACCAGCAAGATAAGCAGTATTAAGTGTGGAGCCTGCCAGCCTGTCAGCTCCAGCTCCTCCGGGCAGACACTGGCCTGGAGTGCCAATGGCTGGAGAGGGCTGGCAGGGTCATCCCTGAGGGCTGGCCACAGGGCCACTTCCCCATTTCCTCTCCCAGGCAGGCTGCTACCCACATGGACAGAGAAAGCACTTCCAAGGGATCTCTCTGCTCAGAGGAGCCAAAGAGAAGGCTGATGAGTGGGCAGGCAGACAGGTACAGAGATGATGGGTCAGGTGGCCCCCACATGGGTGACAACTGACATTTAAGAAGCAGATCAAATAAGACAAGCCACAGGGTTCCCCTAGCTGGAGGGCAAGCCTTGGTCAGTGGAAGGGGTCACTCCTTAGGAAGGGCTCAGGGTCTCTGTGGTCTACCTTGAGGCTGCGGGGCCTACCTCTTGACTGCCAGGACTTCTCCCCAAGTCTGACACTGTACTATTTCGTGGTTTCCCTGAATTACACACTGCCCACAGGGTCCCTGAACCAGCCAGTGCTTCCTTTCCATCCTAGTAGGACAGAGGCACCTTAGGCAAGTCACTTAACATTCCCTCAATTTCAGTTTCTTTGTTCTGTAAAAAGGGGACAGAAAAAGGTGACAATGAAAAGTGCTGAACTTAGCTTGGCACATCTGAGGCCCCATCAGTGACTGCTCCTTCCCTACTTCCCAAGCTCAGTTAAAAATACGCCTGCTTTACTGGAAAGACATTCAAGGTAAGAAAAAAAGGCACCTGCCCTGGAGTGCCCATGTTTACAAGGCCTCCATGAGGACCCCACCTTCTGGTACAGCAGGGCTGGGGGCAGAGGGTCGGCCGAGGGAGCCTCACTGCTTCTCTACTCTCCATCAGCAGAGGGAGGCCCAGGTCATATTTCCTGGGCTGCCCACAGAAATGGGACCAACACTGCCCAGTGCTGATGCCAACTCAGGCAGACACCAGAGTCAGGGCAGGTCAGGGCTGGAATCTGACTCTGTGGCCCTCTGTGGTGGTGTCAGTCAGCTTGGAGCCAGGCAGGCCTGACCCACAGATGGGGTCAAGGAGCCCCTGCTATGGGGCAGGGGAGCTGGCCATAGGCTACCCACCACAGTTCTGGAACCAAGTAGGTCCACAGACTGTCACAGAGGCAGAGCCGGGGACTGCCAGAGTTAGATGACAAGGGCAGGGCTGGTGTGGGACAGGGCAGGGGAGTAGACGGAGCACCACGGGTGTGCACGGACTTGTGGAGCTCCCTTCTCCCTGGCCAGAGGAACCAGGATATAACTTCCCTGCTACCGCCCATGGCCCCCTGCCTATCCCCACTCTGCTTCTGGCCCAGCCCGGGCCTCTCCATAAGTGTGGGAGAGGGATCTGGAGCCATATGGAGAGCTGTCCCAGAGCACAGGCCTTGGAGCCTGACAGGCCATCCCCTAGCCTTGGTACACGGGGCCCATCACTGAAACACCAAACCTCAAGTTTCCCCTTCTGTAAGGCGTCTCTAGCGCCTGCCTCATAGATGTGACAAGGACATGAGATACCTTGCTGTCTGCTCAGTGCACTGCCCCAGTGAGACCTTCCAAAACATACATGAGAGGCACCTATGTCAGCGAACAGCCACATACCCAGTGACACCCTGGCCAGGGTGTGCCAGGGCTACAACCACTGCCCTTATTGCCGCCATGTCCATCACCCTCACCTTCCTAACATCTCAGAGCTCTGAAAATACACCCTGGGAGTCTCTCACCACTGTGGCTCACCCACCCAAATGCCCCCCTGTACCCTCACTGGCCCTTCAAGTCCCATCTTCTCTGAGGCCCAGTAGGAGTCTTCCTTACCCCAGGGACCCTCTTCAAGTACCCTTTACTCTCTCATCCCCTGTTGGGGCCCCCGTGGCCTGTGCACACAAGGCTGTATCTGCCCTCCCCTCCAGGAACTTCTGCCCCTTCCCACTAAGCTGGGTCTGTCACAAGAAGTAAACAGCTCCCGGGAGCTGAGAGCTCAGTCTTACTGCAGTAGGTGAGGGGTGACATAAGTGTGATTGTGAAATCAGACTCCTGTGCTGCAGGTTCGCCTGCTCTGGCACTGTTGTGACTGTCCCCCCCCACCCCCCAAGACAGGGGCACAGCCTCCCTAGGGGCAGTCTGGCCAATCTTTGCACAGCTGCACATTGAAGCAGCATCTTCTGGGCTGGGGCTGGGGCCAGGGCTCTCTGCATTCCCCCTGCACAGGTTCTGGGGTCCACGACGGAGTGTATGCAGCTTCT